GAGCATATGAACTACAAATATGGTAATCTCATTTTACTGTTTCTATGTCAATACACACTTTAGAAATTCATTTGAATTATGACAAAGTGAGCATCAAATTGTGTACCACATGTAGACATGAAAGATGGATATACTCAAAGTCTGAAGAATTGAAGCATCATCATTTTTCTCATTATGGTTTTTTCAGATGAAATGGAAATGTTTGCACACCAAGATTCTTGTACTTCTACATAATTCTGTCACTATGCGAAAATTAATTGACAGTGGAAGTGCCAGATTCATTGTATATTGCGTTTGAATTTCATGTAAAAAAACACTATGTATTTGTTCATACTGTGTATGACATGGGACCTAAATAAAACATGATATGGAAGGACAGGGCTTTAATAAACAGTGACTGTATAAGACTGTATACCTTATCCAGTGAATGCATAGCAAAGCATGGACCTTCATGTGCCTTGACTGTCTTAGACAACGTGACGTCTTGCCATATATAGACTGCACCATTAGCACCACCTGTATATGTTACTTCAGGCGATTTACCGAATGTCGCACACATCATGGTATCAAGCTTACCCACATTACCAAATGTACCCCTTTTGGACGTTAAACCTCCACCTACTAATTAAACAAAGTATTAAACAACGAGTGGAAACTAATATTATATTGAAAAGAGTTGATGCAATGATGTCTTACATTCTAGAAACAGTGGCTTACCGGCAACTGTCCAGAATTTGATGTGTTTTACACCAACAGTGACAAGTTTATCTTCTGCATGCGGATTCCACTTTATAACATAAATTTTGTCTTTATGACCTCTGGTTGTCGCTAACTTGGCTCCTTTTTTCCAGTCCCATATCACAATAGTATGGTTGTCATCCAAGCCCACACTAGCAAGTTTTTTACCATCACCTGTAAGAATCGGATACAATTTGTTTTGACACAAAGATTCTTGCTTTTTCTATTTAATTTTGTAAAAATTGAAAATACCATTTTGTACCACATACACAGTATATAATATTACTTTCAATATTTTTTAAATTTACATCTTAGATCAAAAGTTATTTTAGTTATCGTTTACATTTTTTTTCAGATGGAGTTGCATTGTGATAACAATTATCACTTTGTACTTGGTATCAGAGTAAACAGTTTAGATGTGCCAGACATTACCAACTAACAGTAATGCATACTATATGTGGCAATGTAAATGACCCCCCCCCCCTCATATTTACATACCAGAGAAATCAACAGCACATACACCTCTTTGATGTTCTCCTTTGAGGATAGACAATGTTTTCAAATCGTTAACGTCCCAAACATGGATTGTAGGATCTCGACCAACCTATTAATAAAAAAAATAAATTAGTTATTTAGTTACATTTGCATGTAATATTTATCTATGCTGTGACGCTAATATATAGAAATGAAAAAGACAAGACTTGTTTTTTGTATTTCCACTGACAAGTGAAAACATTTACAGTGTAAGAATCAATCCACTCACCTGTCCAGTTGCCACAATGTCCTTCAGAGGATGGATACACAAACATAAAATATCATCCGTGTGTTCAAGGTAGAATCTCTGTGAATGTTTAGTTTTGTCATAAATGATAGCAGCAGCAGCCACGTGATATACCACTTCCGCATTCTGGGTGTAGAAGAGATTGTTCCGACAATCGTAGCCTCGATATCTAAATAAAATTTAGCAAATATGTAAAACATCACAAGCTAAAAATATCTACATGTACAAATAATGCCTTATTAGGGGGTGCTAACTACTACTACTACTACTCCAATACATTGTCTACAACTACTACTACACTGGGTGATATTCCCACTATATTGTCTACAACTACTACTAACACTGGGTGATACTCCCAGTATATTGTCTACAACTACTACTACACTGGTTGATACTCTCACTATATTGTCTACAACTACTACTACACAGGTTGATATTCCCACTATATTGTCTACAACTACTACTACACTGGTTGATACTCTCACTATATTGTCTACAACTACTACTACACAGGTTGATATTCCCACTATATTGTCTACAACTACTACTACACTGGTTGATACTCTCACTATATTGTCTACAACAACTACTACTACACTGGTTGATATTCCCACTATATTGTCTACAACTACTACATACACTGGTTGATACTCCCACTATATTGTCTACAACTACTACTACACTGGTTGATACTCTCACTATATTGTCTACAACTACTACTACACTGGTTGATACTCCCAGTATATTGTCTACAACTACTACTACACTGGTTGATACTCCCAGTATATTGTCTACAACTACTACTACACTGGTTGATACTCCCAGTATATTGTCTACAACTACTACTACACTAGTTGATATTCCCACTATATTGTCTACAACTACTACTACACTGGTTAATACTCTCACTATATTATCTACAACTACTACTACACTGGTTGATATTCCCACTATATTGTCTACAACTACTACTACACTGGTTGATACTCCCAGTATATTGTCAACAACTACTACTACACTGGGTGATACTCCCACTATATTGTCTACAACTACTACTACACTGGGTGATACTCTTACTATATTGTCTACAACTACTACTACACTGGTTGATACTCCCAGTATATTGTGTACAACTACTACTACACTGGGTGATACTTCCACTATATTGTCTACAACTACTACTACACTGGGTGATACTCTTACTATATTGTCTACAACTACTACTATACTGGTTAACAAAAAGTGTTAACCAGTAGGCAGATTTGAAAATACAGATAAATACATCCCTTCAACTTACCCATGTATAAACTCTAGTTTGATTCCCTCACTGGGAGCTTTGTTTCTTTTCTGTCCACTACCTTTGAGGTCAGCTTTATTCTTGGCCTTGATTGCTGTCATATCATCTTTATACACCACTCTATCATAGTTAATTGTGTTTTCTCGTTCAATGTCGGAATCAATCTCACCAACATCAGACATGTCAGAGTCACTTTCTTCACTGTTCGAATCAACATAACCTGTGAAATATTAATATGAAAACACTATGATCCAATACAACCATACTGTAATATTTTGTCCATTACAAAGTATAGCATTACTAAAACATTACTAAAACAAGTTGTAGAAATGTTTCATCAAACAAAATGTGTTTTCATTGAAATGTCATTTGAAATCTAATTACATTTTGAGTCATGTTACACATTGCACTGCTTGTGATGAAATTGATATAATAAAGATATTCAGTTAAAACAGAGACTAGTGTATATCTCACACATTTTATCTAAAATATTTCCTTTCTATTTGGTCACAAACAGCTGACATCAACATTTATATAAGCTGACAAGAGTGCTATGTCAGTCGGCCACAAATACAAAACAAATCAAAAAATGCTCTATGGTTGTTAAGGCAACACCATAGACAGGTACCCACTGTATAGGGGTGGTTGTTAAGGCAACACCATAGACAGGTACCTACTGTATAGGGGTGGTTGTTAAGGCAACACCATAGACAGGTACCTACTGTATAGGGGTGGTTGTTAAGGCAACACTATAGACAGGTACCCACTGTATAGGGGTGGTTGTTAAGGCAACACTATAGACAGGTACCCACTGTATAGGGGCGGTTGTTAAGGCAACACTATAGACAGGTACCCACTGTATAGGGGTGGTTGTTAAGGCAACACTATAGACAGGTACCCACTACTGTATAAGGGTGGTTGTTAAGGCAACACTATAGACAGGTACCCACTGTATAGGGGTGGTTGTTAAGGCAACACTATAGACAGGTACCCACTGTATAGGGGTGGTTGTTAAGGCAACACTATAGACAGGTACCCACTGTATAGGGGTGGTTGTTAAGGCAACACTATAGACAGGTACCCACTGTATAGGGGTGGTTGTTAACGCAACACTATAGACAGGTACCCACTGTATAGGGGTGGTTGTTAAGTCAACATTATAGACAGGTACCCACTGTATAGGGGTGGTTGTTAAGGCAACACTATAGACAGGTACCCACTGTATAGGGGTGGTTGTTAAGGCAGCACTATAGACAGGTACCCACTGTATAGGGGTGGTTGTTAAGGCAACACTATAGACTGGTACCCACTGTATAGGGGTGGTTGTTAAGGCAGCACTATAGACAGGTACCCACTGTATAGGGGTGGTTGTTAAGGCAACACTATAGACAGGTACCCACTGTATAGGGGTGGTTGTTAATGCAACAATATAGACAGGTACCCACTGTATAGGGGTGGTTGTTAACGCAACACTAGACAGGTACCCACTGTATAGGGGTGGTTGTTAAGTCAACATTATAGACAGGTACCCACTGTATAGGGGTGGTTGTTAAGGCAACACTATAGACAGGTACCCACTGTATAGGGGTGGTTGTTAAGGCAACACTATAGACAGGTACCCACTGTATAGGGGTGGTTGTTAAGGCAACACTATAGACAGGTACCCACTGTATAGGGGTGGTTATTAAGGCAACACTATAGACAGGTACCCACTGTATAGAGGTGGTTGTTAAGGCAAGATAGACTATATACCCACACTGAAATGTCTAAAGATGAAAATGTAAATTGTTTTTAAAATTTAGAAATTATATGGGAAATATTGTTGACACTTACCTGTTCCCTGAACAGTGTCATCGTCAGCACCAACGCCTTCTGGCAAGTATTTCCACTGGAATACAGCATGGTCTGCACCACCAGTAGTTATAACATGGCGTTTATCATGTGAAAATCTTACGTTGGTCACATGAGCAGAATGACCAATGTACTTCCTAAATTTAGCAGCTGAAAATGAAGAATACATCAAATTCCAGAACAAGAATAGTACATAGAAAATTAGTGTTGATATGTATTGTTTAAGTCTGAAAATCTATATTATGAGAAAGAATAAGTTAATTAGATTCTTACCCTTTTTAAGTGATGGGAACCTGAATAATTTAACCATGCCAAAATCATCTCCAGTGACCACAACTTCACCAGGAAAATTTGCATCACATGCATTCACATCATTGACATCAGTGTACTTAGGCCAGATTCCATTGACCTCTGCCCCGAGTACGCAAGTCCATGAAGACCAATGTATAGCATTAATTTCTTCTTTACTTGTTAAATGCTTACCAGCTGCAAACAATGAATACTCACGATTAATTTAGTTTGTTGTTCCAAAATGGTGAAGCCTCTCTTATAATGTGGGTCCAAGAAGCAATCCATTTAAGATAACTTGCAAGCTATATATCGCTTAAGACTATAAAAGGTGCTCAGACAAAGGCTAATTTCACACACAATAATCATAAAATAATGGATACCATACTTGCTCTATTAGTAGTGCTCATGTTAATGATAAAGATGTATACATGTTCATAATAAGTCAACTGTTAGTTTACATGTGCTCCAATTGGAGATGTGCTTGTAATAGAGAAAATACAGTATCTATTCACATGTAAGTAATTATTTTTATCATTCATAATCTCATACCAGGCATTCTGAAAAACAAACGTTCTCCTGCACCACTGTTGGTTTGCAGATACTTGCTATCTTCAGACCAGTCGATATGTGTGATGAAGCTACTTGCTCCTGAACACTGCCCAACTTTTTTGTATCTTTGAGCTACAGCGTATATATCCACAAAGTTGTCATTGGAACCCACAGCAAGGTAGTTACCACACGGTGAGTATTTCATCTCATGGATAACTTCTTTCCTGTCTTTGATGTGAATTATTTCAGCCAAGTCTCTAAAATAATCAATAGTTTAGCTCAGATTATAAAAACATTTTAGAAAGATATAGATATTCACATTGACATAGTCCGAATCGCACGGTTTGTTGGTGCCGACTTATTGCCGACTCCACCAACCCGTGCGGGATCAGCCTGGGTAAACCCGTATTGTATGTTAAACAAATGGTCAAGTTTGATTGGATGCGCCTGTTGGAAAGGCGCCCAATCAGACTCTGTAACATTGCACGGTAAGCTAAAGAACAACATGTCGGAAATGGCAATGTGCAGCACAGTTACTTCAAAATTCTTTTAGTAACCATGCATGAGAATATGTTTAGGTTGTTTGTCAAACCCAAAAAAACAGCGCTGCATTTGTTCACCAAGTTTTCAACATTTCTTTATGTCAACGTTGCAGACTGTTTGTGACATACTTCATCAGCAAAGTGACAAATATTTATGTCGACCATGTTTTAACAAAATAGAAACTGTCAACTCAGAAAATGTCAGAAACTCCCGATTTGCCGCTCCCTATCCTTGTTGCAACAAAGTCATCTTTTTTCAGATAGTAATGCTTTAATGGTATGGTTTTTGTGATCGGGGAGGCTTTTTATCTTGAAAAACTGCTAGTGTCGCCTGTTAAAAAAAACCTGATACAAGCAAGCTGATTGGCTGTTTATTTTTGTTGCATCTCCTTTCTTTGTCGTTAAGGGCGCCTATTAAATACACACTATTTGGAGGGTTGAGCCGAAACAAACGCTCCTTGGATGGCAAAGATGTCACATTGAATGCCACATTGTTTCCTGCAATCAATATTTTTGAAAAGAATATGGTAAACAACTTATGTAGATTGCATTTTGTAACACTGACAAAACCTTGTTTATTTGTTGTGAGCAATAATAAAAACAAAAATAATTTACTGTTTTCACACAATAACTGACAGAAGCAAATATTTGTGTCATGTAAACCAAATGTCAAATAATCAATGGATTTGTTTTCACCTTGTTTTAAGAACCACAAATGATCCATCACTGAGACCAGCTGCTATCTGTGTTCCATCGTCATTGAAGGATAAGGACCTGATGTTTTCATCTAAAGTAGTTCTAGATAATGTTACACGATCTGACATAGACCATATCCTGCAAAAAATAAACATAGGGAAACTATCAAGGCCTTGTTCTTGTGAATATTACCCATAATACTTCACTTTCTATTTACACATGGGAATAGCAACAACACTCGACACTGTCAATGTGAATTTAGTGTCTACTAAAAAGGATACATCATAGTGTGATTCTAACCTGACTGTATGATCATCACTTCCTGTGGCAAATATTGGTTTCTTAGGATGTACAGCCAATGCCCAGAGTTCTCCCTCGGCATGTCCTAACATAATGGTTTTTGGCTTCTCTCGTTCACTCACAAATATTTCAAATATTTCACTATCTTGTGTACCAACTAAAATCTTCTCTCCTCTCCACATAACACTTCTTATTGCTAGTCCTGGAAATGAACAATGTGGGTTTTTATGTGAGTAGATATATTCATTTGTAATGTACTGTATTTCTTTAAATTTTCATAGCAAGCAACTTTTATAATCTTAATGCTGAGAACAACACTAAAAAAACGCATTCAATGTAACTGATGCAGTTTACAGCACTTTTGGAAAAGAACAATATTGGAAAGATGGATGATGTACTGTAAACACATTTAGCTTAGCCACATCAATTTTACACTTATACATGTATGTTATTGTACTCAGCTTCCAAAATCACAAGTTTTAAGAGGGTGGGTACTTACCCAAGACCCCTTTTAAGGTAGCAACAGTGAAAATCTCATCGTTTAGTTAAAATGATCTGAGCAACTCAAATCAAAACATATTTATAGCAAACTATATATTATATGAAAGCTGAAATATTCAGTAATTTGATAATTCATATTTTGCCATGATTGTTCACATAGGGGTCATGTGACTGGGGATTAACTGGACCCTGCCAAATAACAAATCAATCAAAGAAAGCTTAGAAAGAACTCCCGTGTGCTGAGAGTTTTGGAGACACATTAAAAATTAATTCAAAATTACTTACACTTGAGATATTGATGGAATAGCTGAAAACTAATTATGCAAATAAGGTAACTAATATGAACAGATTTAAGTGTAAAACTAATAAGGTCTGCACAATGTACCAAGTTTCATTGAAATGTGATTAGAACCAAAAAAATATTAGTTATTATGCTAATTAGAGAATTAATATGAACAGATTTTAACCCAAAATTAATCAGGCTGTCTATTGTCCTAGAGCATTTATGGATCAAGTTTTATTCAAATGTGATGATCAATACTTGAGATATCAGTATTAATTAATTATGTTAATTAGGTGAATAAGAAGCATAAATATTTACCAAAAACTAATATGGTGCATAGTCTTAGGTTCTTTAAAAGTTTCATTGAAATCCAATGAGTGGTTTTTAGACATCAGTGCAACAGCCATAGAACAGCAAAAAATTAACTAATTATGCAAATTAGATAATTAATAGGCACAATTATTTATCCCAAAATTAATCAGGTCTCTGCATAGTCCTAGAATATCTATGTCCCAAGTCTCATTGAAATGTGATGATTAGTACTTGACATATCAGTGAAAAGCTGAAAATTAACTAATTATGCTAATAAGATGATTAATATGCACAAATATTTACCCAAAACTAATTAGTCTCTGTACAGTCCTCAAGTAACTATGTACCAAGTTTCATTTAAACATGATCATACTACTCGAAATA